GGAGAGGGAGAGAGAAAAAAAGGCGAATGGTAAAGATTGGGTCCCCTCGCGGAGGTCTGCGAAGGGGGGGTACGAGAGGGGAAGGAGATGGTGAAGTATGAAGGGAGGGAACGGAGGGGAGATGAGGGGAGGAGGAGGAGAGGAGAAGGAGAAGGAGAAGGAGAAGGAGAAGGAGAAGAAGGGTAAAATGCCAAAGAAGAATGAGGGAAGGAGAGGTCGGAAGGGGAGACTGGAGGAGGAAGAGAGAGGGTAGGAAAAGGACGAGGGGGAGGAGGGAGGAAAGGGGTATAAAGAAGAGGAGGGTAGGAAAGGGGAGAAGAGAGGGGATGCGAACGAGGCATGTACGGGCGGAAGAGGAGGAGGAGGAGGGCGGGGGGCGGCGAAGTAGCAGCGAGGGGAAAATAATCATTAGAGGAGGGAAATGAGAGAGAGAGAAATGGCAAGAGGGTAATGAAGCAAATAAAAGAAGGAATGAAGTAAGAGAGAGAAAGGAAAAGAGAGAGAAAGAGAAAGAGAAAGAGAGAGAAAGAGAGAGAGAGAGAGAGAGAGAGAGAGAGAGGAGGGGGTCCCACATTCTTGGCGACGTATATTTAGCGATACAACCCCACACAAACACGCACACGCACACACTGCTCCACCCTCACCGTTCTTACAGTTACTTGTTTTTTGTTGTTGTTGTTTTTGTTTTTATTTGCGCCCCGGGTACTGTTGATGCGCCGGCCTCGCTTGTTAGCCTTTGTTTGTTGCGCGTTTGTGTTGTCGATTCCTTCGTTATTTTTGTAGTTTTTTTTATTATTTGCATGTCGGCGTTTCAAGTTTTGATCGATAACTGTTCTTGGTGTTCCTCGCAATCCTTCTGATTGCTACTCTTGTTGTTTTTACATTGGATATTGTTGTTTAAGTAGTATTTTGTGTGTGAATGTGTGTGTATTCATATGTATATATGCATGTGTGTGTGTATGTGTATATATTTGTATATATACATGTGTCTGTATGTGTATATATTTGTATATATGCATTGTATATGTGTGTGTGTGTGTTATATACACACACACACACACATATATGCATATACACATACATATACACATATACATATAAACACATTCATATAAACGTGCATATAAACATCTATATATGCATGTATATATGCATTTGTGCATATTGATGTTTATATACATGTGTATATGTATATATGTGCACACACACACACACACACACACACACACACACACACACACACACACACACACACACACACACACACACACACACACACACACACACACACACACACACACACACACACAGATATATATATAATCTATCCATTCATGTACACTCACACGTACATACATACATTTATATACAGTCCTATGAATATTTGTTTATTTATTTATTTGCGTATGAGTGTGCCTATGCGCATGTTTACACATAAACGGCAATCGCGTCCCCGTGTTTATTCCTTCGCTCCTTAATCTGGATCTGTTGTCAGTGTCGGCGTCCTGTTTATTTTCGTAAGAGCCGCCGTTATCTGTAATTCAAACATGTTTATGCTAATCTCCTCTCCCTTTTTCTCTCCTGTTTTTTTCCTCGCACTCGCTCTCGTTTTTATTTTTTTTTTTCTTTATTTTGTTTACTCCATCCTTTTTTATGTGAATGGCTTCCATCTCCTGTTTCTTGTCCGCCAACTTCTTTGCTGTCGCTGCTGAGGTGTCTTTTGCGTGGTGGCCGTAAGATGACGTGGACGAGGGTATGTATGCGGGCGGGCGGTGGGTGTATGCGAGAGAGACAGACAGACAGAGACAGAGAAAATGTGTGTGAAAGGGTTTGTTTACATAGGTGTATATATGTATTTGTCCGTGTTTAGGTACGGAGGTGTTTTCGAATATATAGATGTAGATAGGTATGTAAGTTTGTAGCCTATTTACATAAGTGTGTGTGTGTGTGTGCGTGTGTGTCTGTGTCCGTGTCCACGTGCGTGTGCGTGTGTGCTTGCAGCTGTTTTATTTGCGTCAGCGTCTTTGTTGTCTGTCAGTAGCCCGCTCGTGCCTGTTAGCTGCCATGTGGATATCCAAGAGGGCCTCTTCTGTTCTCCTCGTCTTCGTATTCTTTCATTTTTGTTTTTTTATTTGTTTTTCGTTCTCTTTTTTTACTCACTCTCTCTCTTTCCTTTGCTCCTCCGGCTGCTATCCTCATCAGCCGTGTAATTCTTCCCCTAGGAATTTTGTCTTTTATTAATGGTGATATTCCCGTTAAAGATGTGGCTGTATCATATTATCCTTTTTTTTCTTTCTTCTGTTCTCGTTGTTCATGATTGTTATTCTTGTGCAAATGATTTTAAGGAATTTGATAGCGATGGCAAAGTAATTAACTGTAGTTATCAGGCTTTTTAGTAATTGTCCTTATATGTTGTATGTTTAGTATGTTGATGATATCACGGGGTAGTAAAAGTTATTGTTAGGATTATTATTATTATTATTATTATTATTATTATTATTATTATTATTATTATTATTATTATTATTATTATTATTATTATTATTACTATTACTATTATTATTATTATTAACTCATTGGCGTATTGAGTCTAATCGTAATCCTAGTTCTCTTCCTTCTCCATCCCCTTCTCCTTCATCTTCTCTTCCCCCCTTCCTCTTTTGCTCTTCCTTCGTCCCTTCCCTCCTCCCTTCTTCCCTTTTCCCTCCCTCACGCCCTTCTCTCCTCCTCTATTCCTCCCCCTCCCACCTCTTCCATTTTCCCTCCCACCCCCTCCTCCTCTGTCCCTCTCCCCCCCCTCTTCCCTTTTCCCTCCCACCCACCCCCTCCTCCTCTGTTTCTCCCCCTCCCCCTCTCCCTTTTCCCCTCCCAACCCCTCCTCCTCCTTCTCTGCCCCTCCCCCTCCTCCCTTCTTATTTCCATCCACGTGCTTCTCCGTCCTACATACGCTTCTATAAATAAAACGGATATAGTTGTTGATGCGTACGTACAAACGGGATATATACAGTGAAGGGCGTATGAGTGTGCTCACGTTTGGCAGGTTAAGTGAAGTTAAGTGGTGAGAAAAACGGTTTTCTTCTTCTTCTTCGTCTTAGTTCCTGCGTTTTTTTTTTTGTCCTCTTTTTATTTCTGTTTCGTTTCTTTTTATTTTTTCTAGTTTAGGTAATCTGTTATTTTTTTAGTTTTTCTTTTTTCGTCGTTGGCTTCATCTGCCTCTTCCTCTCCTCCCCTTCCTCTTCTCCTCCTTCCTCCTCTTCTTCCACCTCCTCCTCTCCCCTCACCTCTCATCAACTTCCTCCTCCTCCTCCTCCTCCTCCTTGGTTACCAGATCCCCCACCAGATGTCACCTCGGGCGTTCATCTCGCGCCATAACCTGTTGTTTTCTTCAGGCCGGCGGGAAGTGGTTGTGAGGGGGGGGAGGTGCATTAGTGTAATTTTGTACTTGGTTGTCCGTGATTGTCAGACGGACGCACTACTTCTGTTTCTATGTATCTGCTTACGTTTGTCTGCCTGTGTGTTTGTGTCAGAGTCCGAATATATGTTGTGACAATACCTCGGAGTCCTTTTGAAAGGCATTTAGTACTTACACTTTGAGGGGGGAAAATAGTTTTTAGCCTATTCCACTTCCCTCCGTCTTCCCCCTCACTTGGTCGTCCCTCCCCCTCCTTTGCCCCCTCCCTTTCCGCTTTCCATCGCCTCCCTTCCCCCTTCTCCATCCCCTCCCTTTCCTTTCTCCCCCTCCCTTCCCTCTCTCCTTCCCCTCCCTTCCCTCCCTCTCCATCCCCTCCCTTCCCTCCTCTCCATCCCCCCCTTCCCTCTTCTCCATCCATCCCTCCCTTCCTCTCCACTCTCCCATCCCCTCCCTTCCTCCTCTCCATCCCCTCCTTCCCTCCTCTCCATCCCCTCCCTTCCCTCCTCTCCATCCCTCCCTCCCTCCTCTCCATCCCCTCCCTTCCCTCTCCATCCTCTCCCTTCCCCCTCCCCATTCCCTCCCCATTCCCTCCCTTGACCCCCTCCCCATCTTTTTTTTACACACCTGTTTGCACTCGTAGTTGCACAAAGAAACCGTCAGAGAGCAGAACAAGGCTTCTCGTCTGCGCCATCGCCAGTCGGGAAATTTTGGCGGCGCGAAAGTCCCAACGGGTCGGCGGCGCTAACGAGAGGGAGCGAAGGAGACCCGGGTTTCGCGGCGGGAATCGGCTGTTTGCTCGTTTGCTTGTTTGCTCGTTTGCTTGTTTGGAGGCGTTTTATTGAGTCGACGGGAATGAAGGAGGGGGCAAGGAGGGGTGAGGAGGAGATAGGTAGCCGAGGGAAGGGGAGGCATTGAACGATGGGGTTGGGGAGGGAGACAAAAAGGGGGAGAGATGGGTGTAGGGAGAGGGAGGTGGAAGAAGTTGGAGAGAGGTGGAGAGAGATCGAGGGAGAGGTTGAGGTGGAGAGAGAAGTCAAGGTGGAGAGAGAGGTAGAGGTGGAGAAGGAGAAAGGAGGGAGGGCGCGTAATGTCCCACATTTCCACCCTCGCTCGCCCCAGATCCCGTGGCCTTCTCCACCCTTGCTTAGCCTCACACTTCACCCTGCCCCTCACTCTTAGCCTTCACCTTCACCCTCGCCCTCGCCCTCGGCCCGAGTCTCACTTCAGAAGGTCACACCGCATCTCTCTCACCTCGCCGCCCTCACTTGCCCTCTTCATCCGCGCTATTTACTTTCTCTCCTTCTTTCTTCGTGCGAACACCGTGCACCCTACACCCTACGTACATCCTACGTACACCTTGCTTACACCATACATATATCCTACTTATACCCTACTTGCATCCAACCTACACTCTGCCTACACCCTACCTTCACCCTGCTTACACCCTCCTTACACGATGCATACATAATACTTACACTGCGCAAAGACCGTACTTATACCGTATTTACACCCTACTTATATCCGACATATACCCTACGATCTATCTACACCCTGTCCATACTTCCACCTTATGCCCTACATCCTATAGACACCCTGTCCCATACTTGCACCTTGCATCCTACCTAAACCCAACGATCTGTTTACACCTGCCACACCCCACACCCTGTCAACACCCCACATCCTGCCAACCCCCACGCCCTGCCAACACCCCACACCCTAACCAACACCCTGCCAACACCCCACACCCTGCCAACACCCACGCCCTGCCAACACCCCCACCCTGCCAACACCCCCACGCCCTGCCAACACCCCACACCCTGCCAACACCCCACACCCTGCCAACACCCCACACCCTGCCAACACCCCACGCCCTGCCAACACCCCACACCCTGCCCAACACCCCACGCCCTGCCAACACCCCACAGCCTAAATGAGGTGTAGGTGGCCAGGCGGTGGGGTCGTGGCCAGGCGGAGGGAGGACGCGCCAGGATGTTTATCGCGTCCCCTCCACGCCGAGGATTTTCCCGGAACGCGCGCTGGTTTCGGCTCCATGGATTTGAAGGAGCGGGTGGTGCTTAGAGGATGGAGGGAAGGATGGATGGGATGGGGTGGAGAGAAGGATAGGGTGGGGTGGGGTAGGGTGGAGAGAAGGATGGATGGGATAGGGTGGAGGGAGGGGGAAGGAAGAATAGAAGGATTGGTCGGATGGGAAAGGATGAAATGGGGAGAGGGAGGGGGGAGGAAGGAGGGAAAGTTAAGGTAGGATGGCATGCAATGGAGAAAGGATAGAGGGAAAGGAGGATGGAAGGGAGTGGAAAGAGGAGGTATTGAGTGGGAAGAGAAAAGGTAAAAAGAGAAGTTGGTGGAGGATGAGGATAGAGAAGAAGAAAGGAGAGGATGACGTGGGTGAGAGAACAGTGCGAAGGAAATAGGCTAGGGAAGGAATTGAGAAAAGGATGAAATGGGGACAAGAAAGAGGGAAGGGGAGGAGATTTGGACGAGAGAGAGAGAGAGAGAGAGAGAGAGAGAGAGAGAGAGAGAGAGAGAGAGAGAGAGAGAGAGAGAGAGAGAGAGAGAGAGAGAGAGAGAGAGAAAACGGAGGCAAGGGGCCAGAAGAGAAAGGGGATAGGACAGGGATTTGATGAATAGGAGAACAGAAGAGAGAGAAAGAGTGGAGGTGTGAGAGAAGAGCGAAGAGCGCCCAGCTTGGTTATTTTCGAGCGCCCAGTGACGTAATGCGGGCGCGGTCACAGGTGTCGCGGGTGAAGGTGGGCGCGCGGGTGGGCGGGTTGGTGGGGAAAAGGGGGGTAGGAGGGGACGGTGGGCGCGGCGGTGGGCGGGTCGGAGGGGAAGGGGGGCGCGCGGTAGGAAATAGAGGGGAAGGTGGTGGCGAGCGGGTGGAAGGTTGGGCGCGCGGGTGGGCGGGGTGGGAGGTGGGAAGGGGAAAGGGGCGCGCGGGTGGGCGGGTGGAGGGGAAGGTGGGTTCTCCGGGCAAATTGGAGGGAAAGTGGGCACGCGGGTGGCGGGTTGGAGGGGAAGGTGAGCGGGTCGGGTCGGCAAAAGGGGGATCGGAGGAAGGTGGAAGGGCGCGCGGGTGCAGGTTGGAGGGAAGGTGGGTCAGGGGCAGCAAATTGGACGCGGGTCGTGAGGGGAACGCGGGTTGTGGCGGGTGGAGGGGAAGGGCGGTTGGGGATGTGAAGGTTCAGGTCGCGGGTGGGCGGTTGAAGGGGAAGGCCAGTGGGCAGCGGGTGGAGGAAGGTGGGGGTCGGAGGGGAATGTGGGTTCTCGGGTGGGCAAATTGAGGGAAGCACACGGGTGGGCGGGGTCAGAGCCAGGCACCGATGGATTGGCGATGATGGGCGAAATGCAAATCCATCACGTCAGTCAGCGGGGGTGACATACAGACAGACAGACAGACAGACAAACGGACAAGACCAACAGACACGCGTTTCAATAAGCGAGAGTGATATCGGCGATTCTTCCTCTTTTATCCCGGCGCCCTTTTAATCTCTCTCTCTCCGTCCATTCGTCGTTTTTTTTGCGTCTGGGTGGGTAGGGAGGGGGTGGGGAGGGGGGGGGGAGTGAAGCCACATTCGATTAATGAAAACGACAGAGTGATAATGTTAAGGAAGAGGTGCCGAGAGCGTGGCAGTCGGTATTGGCAAGTGTCAGAGGGCGCGCCGGGCGTGTGTCAACAACGGTGTGTGTCAACAAACCCGGCCAGCTGGTGATGCGTCACTTTTCTCTACGTGTGTCTACGTGTGTGTGTGTGTGTTGTGTGTGTGGTGTGTGTGTGTGTGTGTGTGTGTGTGTGTCTACGTGTGTGTGTGTGTCTGTGTGTTGTGTCTGTTGTGTGTTGTGTCTACGTGTGTGTGTCTATGTGTTGTGTGTGTGTGTTGTGTGTGTGTGTGTGTGTGTGTGTGTGTGTGTGTGTGTGTGTGTGTGTGTGTTGTGTGATCTGTGTGTCAGATTTTGCCTCGCCATTTCCCCCACTCTCCACTAACATGGCCAATATTATGACAGTCACCAGAATCTCCGGCGTGCAGAAGATGCAGACGTCTTTGTTTATTGTGTTTGTGCAAGCAAAGGCCAGAGCGCAAGTGTACAAACACCCAAATGAGGCTTAGACGCAATACACAAACGGATACACGTGGGCAGGATTTCTTTTATTTTAGCCTTTCTACTCCCTCACACCCTTCCCATTTCCCTCTCTTCCTTATCCGCTCTCCTCTCCCTTACCCCCGCTCTCCTCTTTCTTACCTTTTCCTCTCTTTTACCGCTTCTCCTCTCCCTTATCCCCTCTCCTTTCCCCCGGTTTCCCATTTTGTTTTTCCTTCATCACCACCTAAATTATCCCCCCCCCCCAGTCCCCTCTCACTGCCTTTCCCCTCCTCCACTTTTCCCCCTTTTTTCTTTCTGTATCCCTCTCTCCCCCTTACTCATCTTTTTTTACTCCCTCTCCTCCCATTTTTTATTTTTCCCCTCACTCCTTTCCCTATCCCCTCCCTCTCCCATCCTCCCCTTTCTTCCTCATCCTCTTCCTCTCCTTCCCTATCCCCTTGCTTTCCCTCTCCCTCTTCTATTCCTCTCTCCCTATATCCCTTCTTCTCCTCCCCTATCTCACACCTTCTCTCTCCTCCTTTATCCCTTTCCCTCTCCTCCTTCTCTATCCAACTTCTTCTCTCTCTCCGTCTCTCCCTTCTTTATCCCTTTCTCACTCCTTCTCCCTCCTCTATTCCTTTCCCTCTTTTTCCTCCTCCTCCTCCTCTATCCCGATCTCCCTCCCTATCCTCGTCCACTATCCCTCTCCCTCTTCCTCCTCGTCCTTCTCTATCCCTCTGTCCCTCCTACACCTCCCCTTCCTGCCCCCTCCCCTCCTCCCCTCCTCCCCTTCCCCCAAGAAGTGTTCGCGTGAGACTCGGCTACACGTGAAGGCTAAGCCGAGGCCAGAGACAGCTACCCTCACCCCCTTCTCCCTTCCCTTTCCCCCTCCCTCTCTCCTCCCCTTGGCCCTCCCCTCCCTCACCCCCTTTCCAGCTGTAATGGCGAATTTAAGTTTCATCAGAGGATCGATGTTATTTTAATTTAGGATGTTTTTTTCTTCTCTCTCTCTCTTCCCTTTTCGTCGTTTGGTCCGTATGTCTGCGCGAGGTTTTGTAAGAAGGGGCAGATGTGTGTGTGTTTTGGGTCTTTGTATATGTGCTGCTTTTGTGTTATTTTCCTATTTTAACCTAATAGTCTATCTATCTATCGCATTAACTCATTTCTGGCTGATGAATTCGCTCGCGCACTTCGTCTTTCTCTCTCTCCTCTCTCTCTCTCTTTCTTCTTTCTTTCTCTTCTCTTTCTCTTCTCTTTCGTCTTTCTCTTCTTTCTCTTTCAGTCTTTTCTTTCATCTTTCTGCTTCCGTCTTCTCTTTCCTCTTTGTCTGCTGTCTTTTCTCTCTTCTCGTTCCTCTTTCTCTTTCGTCTTTCCTCTGTTCGTTTTTCTCTTTCCTTTCTCTTCTCTTCTCCCTCTCTCCATCTCTCTCTCTCTTCTCTCTCTTCTCTTTCTCTCTTCTGCTCTCGTCTCATCTCGTCTTCTCCTCCTTCTCCCTCTTCGCTCTCTCGTCGTACTCCCTCCGCTCGTCTCTCGTCTCTCACTCTCTCTCGTCTCTCGGTCTCTCTCTCTCTCTCATTACTATATATCCATCAGAATCGTCTGCGGTCTGTGCATCTCCCTCTCTTTCTATTCATGCGTGCCTTTCCCTCTTCCCCTTCTTCCCTCCTCATCTCTCCTCTTTTCTTTTTCCTATCCCCACGTTCTCTTCGCCCCTCGTTCCCTTCCACGCGACTTGCTCTCACCTGAGACCTTGCGCTCAGGGTTAAAACTCGTTGCCAAGCCGAGAAGAGAGGGGAGGAAGTGAGGAGAGAGGAGAGAGAAGTGAGAAGAGAGAGAAGAGGAGAGAGAAATGAGAAGAGAGGAGAGAGAAGAGAGGGGGAGAGAGAGAAGAAGAGGAAGAGGAGAGAGAAGAGAGGAGAGAGAAGGAGAGAAGAGAGGAGAGAGGAAGGAGGAGGGAGAGAGGTGGGATGGGGGAGGAGGGGTGGGAAGTGAAGAGGAGGAGGAGGAAGGGATAAGGATTACTGAGGAAAGGGAGATGAAGAGGGGAAGGGAAAACGGCGGATGAGAAAAGAGAAGACCGAAGAAGGACGGAGAGAAAGGAGATGAAGAGGGAGGAGGAAGGGGAGAAAGAAGTTGGAAGAGGGAAGAAGAGGGGGGGGGGGAGAACAACCAAACAACGTGTATGTTCTGTTTATTTGTGTATGTGTGCGTGAGCGCGCGCGAACCCATGTCTATGTGCGTGAGATACCTTGCGTGTATGTGCGTTTGTGTGCGCGCAGACGGCTTTCTTCGCGACTGTGTTTGTTCGTCTTCCGTTTGTTGATCGAGATACCTCTGGCATCGCCGGGCCAAACGTCATGCAGTGTGTGTGTTTGTGTGCATGTGTTCAGGCACGCGATGGAACCTTAATGTTCAGTCAATATTTTTTCTTGGGTAATGAATGTGAATATCGTCCATTTTATTTTATTTATTTTTGATATTTTGTGAGCCTGTATTCGGTTGATTTCTCTTTTATTGTTATTGCATTGAGTTTAGAAGGGTCTCTCATTATTATTCGTTCTCTCCTTCTCTTCTTTCGCTTTCCCTTCCTCGTCCTCGTTCTTTTTATTATTCTCTTTCTCCTCATCCTTCTTATCATCACCTCCTCTTCCTTCCCCTCCCCTCCCTCCCCTTCTCTTCAGCCCTCCTTTTGTATCTTCTCCTTCCGAGTTTTTATTCATTCTCCTCCTCCCCCTTCCATCCACCCTTCCCTCCTTCCGTGTCTTCTTTCCCTCCCCCTTTCTCTCTCTCCTGACTCCCTCGTCTCCCTCCCTTCGTCCTGGTGGCCTCCGAT